TTAATTTGAAGGTGGAATGCGTCCCACGGCGTTATCATCGGCTCTAAAGTACACCGTGACCAATTGTCAGACCTGGTGCGGCATTCAAAACTCATCTGGAGGTTTGTTGAGTTTCATTTTGTTTTCTCATTACAAACTGTGTCCATTGTGAAATATAACTGCAGTGATGCTGAGGCATCTGTAAATCTTTGGACCGCAGGTGTCTGCGACGGGGATCGAATTTGCTATTAGCCTTTCCAGGGTCTAACGTGTTCAAATCCACACCATGCGGGTTCTTCGTTTCTCCCTTCTCTCAACCGTGTTTTTAACCAATGGTGCTATCAGCTTTCACGCGTCAATGGGATTGATCTGGGATCACATATAAGCATTGAACCCAAAGGACCCGCATGGTGTGGCGGTGAACGCGTTAGCATTCATAAAGGGTATAATGAGTTCGATCCCCACCGGAGACACCTTCGGTCTGGAGTTTTGCGCATATGTCAACATCATTGTGGTTATATTTCACATCATAACCTTCCATGGAAAAAGAATAAGCAGTAGATAGAAGGTGAATACAACATTTTCATTGATTTTGTGCATATCCTAATTTTACTATTACATATTCATATTGTTGGAAATTTTTCACCTTGATTTGGTGTGGGAATTTTTGTGCAAATTGAACAAATGCTAGGTCGTCTGACTAGGTATAGTTTTTTTTTAGGAAGAATGTTTTCCAGTTCATGAAGCTGCTTGAAGAAATGTCTATCCCACTACTAATATACTCAGCTGGGATAGCTGACATAATTGAAGAGGCTATTCGACAGCTGTTGGAATATTTCCCAAACAATATAACTATTGCAGCAAATCGTATGCACTTCGACAAGGTATTTTATTTGGTTCCTAGATGTTTTCCTATTCGACAAGTTCATCCGTCTCATTTCTATTAATCCCATATTTTGGATAATTGTTCATGATTCCTCCCAATGGTTTATCGCCTCATCGTGGCTGGGAGGAGTTCCTGGAGGTCGGACTGCGATGTACAACAGGGGATTCGTCCCCCCAGCAGGGCTTCCCAAGCTGATAAGGAGTCCGGCGTTTCCATCAGGAAGTCTAGCTAAGAGTAATCCAATACCAGGACCCGACACCGTCCTGTTATCAAAGTCGCATGTTCGCAAATCTCGCTATGTTCTACAAGGGCTGCTACTGCCCGTGGTGGTGAAGACCTGGGGCAGACTTTGGTCAGGCTGACCTCGGGATTCCAGGGAACCACAATGGCTCAACTAGCAAATCTCCGTTAAATGGTGATTGTGCTGGGGTCCGCACAACCAATGAGGACGGGCCGTTCAAGTGTCAAGTGTTCATGATTTCATTATTTGTTTTATTACCCATTTTTTTCACTGATCTGAAAATGCATGCGTTTTCATTTTGATTTAATGGGAAAACTTTTGGCAAAATAATGTGTGTGTCCACAGAAATTCGGTACATTTTTTACCATTTTAATTGTTCGAATACATCAATTGTCCTCTTTTTTTCGTTTTTGCATATTTTGTTGAGCTGTGATGTCGTCCTTTCGACTCATGCATCTTCATTGTAGGATTAGAGCTTGTGAACCACTAAATGTAGTGTAGATTTGCAGTCCGGTTATATTTCTGGCTTCACTACTCCACCAGTCTGTTCGCTGAATAAAACAATAGCACATCTGCGCAACAGACTTCTTCGAGAAGTAGACGATATCTATCTCTCAAGAATGAATGTTGTACTGATTGGCGACAGCGAAACAGATGCCTGCATGGTCGATGGATGGGAGAAGAAGCAGTTGAAGATTGCACTGTTAGAGAAAGAGGTAACCCCTATGACGTAGAAATGTGCATTCCGTTAGTAGTAACCTAATTAAGTAATTGAAATAACTGAATAGTGATGGACTGTAACCTCAAGTTTGATTTCATAGAATGACATTCTTCATTGCAAAGGATAAAAAAGTCTTTCGACTTTGATTAATTTTTTATGGATTCGCTATGCATTCGACTTCCTTAAGAGCATAGTGTAGTCGAGATTGTCCACCAATAATGGTGGTTACTTTGGTCTGACGCCTGTAGCGCACTGGTCGGAGGCGTCCTGCAATACAAATGGGATCTATCCCCAGGCCCAAGGCCCACCAAACCTTTCACTCTTCCGGAGTTGGAAAATTGCTACCGGACTCGTTTGGGAGGATAACAGCACTGGCTCGATACGTCGGTAGGTCACCGCGGCTCATTGTGGGCACCAGATATGCATTCAATCACCTCCAACGATACTTAATGAAATCGAATGCATGGTGCATCTTTCAGGGATTGATCAACGCCGAGAGCTTTATCCTTTACGAGCTTTATCCATTTAACCGACTCTTTTGCACCGTGGGATGTCTTTTACAACGTTTCAAATGATGAAGGACAAATATGAACATCATAGTCTCATTTCTAGATGCCACACCTGCAATCGTTCGATATTATTATAAGAGGATCTGATTGCACTCGATTGATTGAGATTGTCAAGTTCATCGCTTCGCCCCAACATCTTTGAGTTCTAACCTGATTTCACTGGATTGATTGAGCTTCTCAAGTTTGTTATCTCGGCGCGTTAGCTTTAGTCAGTAGAAGTAGTAGTAGTAGTACGATTAGTTTTATTTTCATTATGTACTTGCTGATAAAGCTTTAGATTGCATAACACGTGTGTAGCTTTATGTTCTGCTCTAATCTCATGCCTTTGATTGAAGTGCTCAAGTTTATTATCTCGGTGCTTTAGCTTTAATCAGTAGTAGTAGTAGTATAGTTAGTTTTAGCTTCATTATGTGCTTGCTGGTAAAGCATCAGATTTCATATTACATGTTTATACATTCAGAAGGTTAAGCGGTTTTATTTTAAGGGTTGGCCTGAATGAGGTACGGTGTTTTCACTTATGCTATGTAGCACTTTCCATTTATTCATTAGTAAATTCGACGTCTCCGTACCCAGCAGTACCAAAGTTTCTTGAGAAGTGTCAGAACTTTAAACGTCTAATTTGTCTAATTTGTTGAACTTTAGGATTGTGTTCAAAACAGTGACAAATCTATCAATATCTATTAGAGTTCATGCTTTCATTGACCCGACAAACTTATTTTTCTGGATTTAGAGTGGAAAATCCTGTGATCATGACAGCGTTTTGTTCCATGTGATTGTCAAACCAAACGCCCCATTAACAATGCACATGATGCGGTAGTAGTGCGGTTTAAATGGGAGCAAGAGAACGAGCTTCTTCCTCGGCGAGTATCGACTGCATTTCTCCGCCGCAGGCCGACAAGTGCGTATTGATCGCTAGCGGTGGTTGTAGTTCGGCCTCATGAGAATTATGAACCATCATCGCCGTTTGTGTCGAGTACTAGTTGTCAGGTGTGGACTGTTTCAGTACGTTATCTTACAGCTGGTAGTAAGACATATCTGATAGGTATTATAGCGAAGCACCTCGTGCCGTTATGGTCTGGTTTTCATGACAGTTGACACTCCGACAGGGCACATGATTAGTTGCGAAGTGGTCGATAAGAGACCAATCGTCGTCATGTGCTTTGTGTTAGATGACGATATCTGCGTAAACATTCCAAATAATCTTAATGGATACCGCAAAAATATCGGGGATTCTCGTTTCTTGTAGATAAAAAGTATAAAATAGTTCAGAAAATAATCAGCCAAAACAAATGGGACAAAAAGTGCTGCTCAAAACAAGAGCGAATGCGTGGTTTGAGATAATGTAATTGTCAGTTAGGCATCATTATGAGATTCTTCATGGGAGGTTGGAAAACATTTTCGTTCTCACACATCCCTGAGTGATCGTTTAATTCCAGAGCAATCAGGAAACCGTCGTTAATGAGGAGTAGGTAGGTAAATGAACGAGAAGTAAATCGATAAGTTAATGAGTAAGATTCATTCGACCATCAATTGGCCAGAAACCTTAGGTAATGGATGGTGCTCGTCATAAATTATTACTGATTATCTTCTACTCCCAAGGGGAAAAGTTGCTTGTCGAGGAAGTTGAACAATCAGGCTCATTTGGTCGATAAATCCGAAACGGATTTTCTCCTGTTCGTAATTCAGCTATCCACTTAAGAACACCGTACATCGGTCTGGCCGTTTCATAATTTTTCCGCTACCACTTTCCTCATTCCTTTTGTCGTCTTCAGTTATTTTTTTCCTTTCAGTCAGCTTGTTCTGTATGTGCTTTTTCGCCAGCTTTTCCTTTCCTAATGATTTCTGTCTCTTTTTCGCACTTTGCGATTGACGATTTCATAAGTAGCCACGGAATCGTCTAATGTAAATCTACGACACGAAAATGGTTAGATGAAGAAGAAACGTCAATATCTATGCAGATCGTAAAAATACTACTTTAGTTGCCTATGGTTTGGGTAGTGGTGATTTTTTGTTGTAGAGTTTTCTAATCTGAAATCGCTCAGGCTGTTGTTTTGTGACGTTATCCCCACGTTTTCCTATCTTACGGCGGGCGATCATCGTTTTCAGTGGGCAAAAATCACCGCGTGTAGTTCTAGCGATTTATTTCCTCACCTGTCACAAGGTTTTGTTCCGATTCCTTTAATCCTGTTCTGACTATTCTCGAAGAGCATCGCATCACAATGACTCTTACTTTACAGTAAAACGTTCTTATAATAATGGTGTGGACTTTTTCAAAATTGCTCATTGAGGTTTATTACACTATAAGATTAAATTAATTCATTATTGAGACATACTAATCGATAAGTTAGTGAATATAGTGTTGCTTTTTATTTTATTTTACATCACCCATCTTACATCACATTAGCTGTGCGGATCCAAGCACATCTTGCATTCAATTCGTTTTCCTTGCACTCATCTTCTACAGTGATCTTTGAACATTTTTTTTTTGTTGTTTCGGCTACTGCTTGAAGATTTCCTCCAGTTTCATGAATGGTATAGAATGTTGCTCTAGTTAATTCATCTCATAATCTTCTGTGTTGCTCTGCTAGAGTGTTCTCTCTTGGAATGGGGGAGAGCGTCGGAGAGGGTGTCGAACCGAAACCTTGCTTTCTGATGGACTGCTTCACTGACCACTACGCTATCAACTTCCCCCATCCTCTCCCATCCATCACTGATATCACCTGTCGTCCAGCTGATGGTCGAGTGACTCGAGCGGTTGCCACTAGTTCTTCCATTTCTCCTTATCGCGTGCAAGAACTGTCTAGTGAAAGAGCAGCCCAGTGGGTTCTGCTCGTTCTATTAACTCGTCGAGGATCATATCTTTCTTTCAAGGTTTTCGTGAAGAACTTTGACCATCCTGCTGGTGGTCTTTCTGCAGTACGTTTGACATCCCGAGGAATCCCATCACTAACGGTTCTTGTCCATTGCTTGTCGTTCATACTCATTAATTCTCCAGCACACCGTATCATCGACATTTAGAACGGCATCTTTGATTTTTAATCGTTGACGTAAATCAGAGCTTCGGATTTTTTTTCCCTCATTCGCGTGACATGTGATATTCCTAACATCGCCCTTTCGATGATGCGTTTCATAACGCTCCGTGATCTTTCACCCGCTTACGTAACAACCACGTTTCTAATGCAAAAGTCAAACCAGGAAGAATCGCGAAGTCGAAAAGGTGGGTGCGGGGTCGAATGCTTCCTGTTCTCTTTACTACATCCTCAATGTTCTTGAAAGTTCTCCAAGCTGCTTTTTTCCTCCTACTCGACTTTGGAGCTAAGTCGTCCATCATTTTGATTTTCCAGCCTAGACAGACGTAGTGGACCACTCGGAGAAATTCATTCCCTTGACCGCCAATGGGGCATACGAAAACAATCTGTTCCTTACCAATATCGTTTCTATGAGAATTATTCGAAGACCAATCGTTCTACGGGCATTATCAAGGTGGGCTAGCATTCCTTCCTCCTCGTATATGCTTAATAAGAACGATGTCAATAGCAAAGCTAAAGTAGTGTAGCTGTTGAGCATCAATTCTTACTCCTATGTTGTGCTTTGACATGACGTTCTCCAGTGTGGTGGTGAAGTTTTGGTGAGATGGTATCGCTTTGCCAAACACCTCTTTTGATGTTAGTATAGTAGTATGTTCAGTGGTGATATTTTGTTTGTGAAAATTCTATACAGCTCAAGAAGAATCTTTATAAACTGAGTAGGGATGCCCTGGCTATCCAGAGCTATGGCTAGTTCTGTCTCAACAGAGCCAAAAACTTTCTTTAAATCGTTGAAAGTGAGGCGAAAAGGTCTCTCATTCTCTCACGAATTTCAATGGTCTTACCGTGTGGATGTTGTCCATCGTACTGAATCCTTTTTCGTCCGGTGTTCTGTCAATACTATTTAGAATGACTCGAATGAAGAGTTTATGGACAACAAACAGCAAACAGATAAGGCTATAGTTGCCGATATCGTGGAGGTTAATATTCTTGAAAAATAGCAGTGTTGCTGCTCTTCCACTTAATGAGAACCCCGCATTCTGACAGATCAAGAACCGAGTGCTGTGTTTACAATGTCTGTCGGATGGTTCTTCAGGTGTTCAGATGTTATCCTTTCCGGAGCTGATGTTGTTCGATTTCTCATCGACGAAATAGCAAGTCGGATTTCGGAAGGAAGAACCGGTGGTACAACATATCCATTCTTCTTTATTTCATATGACGGAAGGTGGACGTGGCTATTGAACAGATACGAGTAGTATTCGTGAATGATTTTCTCCATTGCCTTTCTGAACGCTGTAACTGTTGCGTTTGGACGCCGGAGTGCAATCATCTTGGTCTTGTATGTGGCGAAGCTTCGGTGAGCTTTGCGAATGCTCTTCCCAGCCTCTGCAGCTTCGAACCATTACTGCTGCTCTTCTCTCCTTAAGATCTTTTATCGCCTATCTGCATTGTTTTGCAAGTTCGGACGTTAGTTCACGGTTGCCTGCAGCTCGTCCGATTCCACGCTGGTGTATCAGCTCGAGTGTTTCTGGCGACAGACGTCTCTTCCAGATTTTCGAACTATGAGCTTTCACAGACCTACCGTGATGATATTGAATGAGTCGACCGTATTCTTCGTTGGTCTTTTCGTTAATAGCATTTCCCAACGGCCCACGAATGAACTGAATAAATCCTAATTTATTGCTGTTCTGCTATTTCGTTTTTTGAACTTAGCCGCTTTCTCTCCATTCCGGGAGAAGTGGAAAATTGCTTGAAGGAGGCGATAACCTGGTCTCGTACAGAATTTTGGGATAATAGCGAAATCACTTGATCAAGCCCTTAGGTTTACTATGATGTGGTATGTTTTGTTATGGTCCTCTCCATTGGGAGGCTCCTATGTCCAGCGTTGACAGGTGGAGTTTCTAGAATTGCGAATTAACCAGAAATCATCATGGTCGTCATGATAAACTTACACAGCCGCTCACCCTGCTCGTTCCGTTCTAACCCTTAAGTTCCAATGTGATGTTCTTCAGATGTTTTACTGGGTTCAGTCTTAGCGTTAACATCTCCATGATTCCATGTTGATGGCCAAACTCAGTTGACGAGAATGAATGCCAATGCTGCGGACTCCTCTAATGTCGCATGTACCGAGGAGCAGTTCTTTTCCAGTGTCGTGGACGGCGTTGAATGGGTAACGTATTCTCGTCTCAGCCGGTCCGGTCATGCCGTTCCATATCGTTTATGTCTGGGCCATCAATTCCTGTATCCAGGACTCAGGTGCAAGTGTGTGTGCATTGCAGGTACGAATTGTTATGAAAGTCCTTTGCGATTCAGACAGCTTTGAATGGCCACGAAATTTTAGTAGCCTCTCCATACTCGTCTTATCCAAAGCTACCGTAACGGGGGCTCTTTTGGGACCAGGGAAGTGAGGCCCTTTTATTTCAGTGTTTAGCTCTTCAATACCCACGTGTAGCTTGCTGGACCCTGAATGTGCGGCTGGGTATACTCACGGGTGGCTTGCCACTCTCTCCCAGAGTAGACGTGGGGCTCATTTGTTGGAGGCGATTCCTAACCGCTCCCACATAATTCCTTCTTGATTGCACATTTTTGGCCGAATTGACCCATAGAGTACGATCTGCATAAACGAGAACAAACTCACGTGCGAATGCAAAATACGTACTCGTAAATACAGGAGGTATGTGCCAAATCAGCGCAGCAGAAGCAGGGAGCCTGTTTCCCGGATGCATCTGCATCTCAGGGAAGCATAGGTCGCCTTTAGTCCGTGATTAAACCCCGATACACCATCATACCCACCAGGTTGCTTTGCGACTAACCAGCATGAGATTCGTCTTTGAGGAAGATCCGTGGCTCTCAACCCTATAGTATCATTATTCAATTATTATTCAAGAAGATAAGTCTTGATGGCAGTAGAAATAGGTTACCAGAGGACTCTTTAACTTGTTATTTGTGCGTACTATTTAGGATTGGCTACCCATACCATTAATCCTCCCGTTGATTATCGAATTAGTGGACGTCAGCAAAATCTGCATTAGTTCCTGTCACATGAAAGAGTAATCTTCTGATAAACAAATGCTGCAGTTACTCGAAAAGCATTATGCTTCTTCTAGGGTATTCGTGAAGAAGTTTCATCATCAAATCTGTGGTCTTCTTGATGTGCACTTGGTGCATATTCGTTAGACTCAGTCGCTGACGAATTTTGTCTGTTCGGCTTTACTGATTTTCGACATCCTAGAAAATTTAGTTGTCACTTCTATCGTTAATTGTGGACGTTGTTAGGACTGTCAGAATTCCTTTCCAACTTGCTCGATGCGTGAAACGCCTAGCATTGTCTCCTCTACGAAATCTGTTCTATCGCTGCCATATCTTCCATTTTTTTTAACATGGGGTCGAGATAGTTGTCCTCGAATGGGGAGATTCTGACCATGAACTTACTATATATTTCGTGAAATGTTTTTCTATAGCGCTGTTCTGCGCGCCGTGGGTGTTCATACTTCCCATGACTTCTTCCATATCAAATGATGTGGAAGGCCTTTCGTAAATCTGTCATAGTGAGACAGAGTAGTTTCTTGTACTCCCACGTTACTTGAAGATGTTTCGGTAACGTCTTGTTATGGTAAATCGTGGTGAGCCGTTTTGCAAACCTGCTTCATCGTCTGATTATCGTTTGTCTGATGTTCTGTGAATCCTGTGAGAGCGAATGAAGTAAAGGACATGTAAATGACAGGCTTAGACACGTTAGGCGATAGTACTGCACTGTCATGGAGGTCTCTTTCTGTGAAATAACAGCATCTTGTTGGTTTTTATTGAATTATGGTAGGCAACCTGTACGCCGGCATAATATGTTGGTAGAAACTGGTGGTACTTTATTGTTACTTTATGCTCTAGTGCTGTTTGGAGCGAGTGCTATACGATTCTTCACCACATAGACGGCATGTTGGATTTCGGAATGGGCAAGCACTGGAAGGACGTACGCGTCCTCCCTGATTTGATGTAGAGGGCGTGGTTGTGAAGGGATCGAACTAGAAGTCGTGGAGGACTGCTCTTACTGCACTTCTGAAAGCAGAGGCTGTTTCACTTAGTTGCCGAAGATCGACCAGCTTGCATTAGTGACTGATGAGATGATGAAGATGATGAGTACTGCTGAAACGGCATGTTGCCATCGGAGATGACTGTTTGAAGACGTTAACTGAGTTGTAGTTTGAGTGTTTAGCGCATTGGCTAGGGACTTCCTGCGGTACAGAATAGATGGGCCTCTGGTTCGATCCCATGATTTGCTTCACTAAGTCTTTCACTCGTCCAGGGTCGGGAAAAAACTGACTTATTTGAGATTGTAGAAACACTGACATGATATATTGGTAGGCCACCATAAGTTGTTGTATGAGCCAAATACGTATTCAGTTACTTCTACGTTGCTTGCTCAAGTAGAATTTATGCCGCATCCTTGAGAGAGTAATCAACGCCGAACTCTCTGCCGTTCTTATCATTTAACTGAATAAAATTCATACAGAGCGCTTTCAAAGTTTAAAGAAGAGCTAGCCGTGGGTGTATGGTCAGTTTAAGAGGGCCCCAACCCAGACGAAATGTCATATTGAACAAATGAGTGTCGCATGAGTTAAACGAAAGCATGAAAAGCAGTTGTTTCAAGCTTAGTTCCACGCTTTTTTTTTGTACGACAGAAATGATCCTACTCCTTATTGCATTGTCATACACAACCGAATATGGATTCTCAACAATAACTGAGCACTTGTAGCATGACGAATGGACAGAGGTGGAGCACCGAACCGGTTCCCGAAACTGAGTTTGAATCAGGAGTAATACTGGCTGTTTGATCGTCATGAGACGAGTTCGTTTATTATAACATCTTGAGTCATGGCAAAACTACTACACTAGAAAACTACAGTTAGGAAGTCGACATAAAATGTTAACTGTAAAGTGGCGCGTGTAGCGCAGCTGTCGGAAGCGCCCTACGATATACAGAGGATCGATCTCCTC